TTACACTATCAAATCTTTCATGCCACTGTTTAGGCGCTTGTTTAAGACCATAAAGAGACTTTATCAATTTACAAACTTTCTTCTCGTTTCCCGGAAGAACAAATCCTTCAGGTTGTTGCATATATATTTCTTCACTAAGGTTCCCATTTAAAAAGGCTGTTTTAACATCCATTTGATGTACGTAAAGATCATAGATAGAGGCCAAGGATAAAAGGACTCTAATGGATGTTATTCTTGCAACAGGAGCATATGTATCAAAATAGTCTATGCCTTCCTTTTGAGTGAAACCTTTTGCAACTAATCTTGCTTTGAAGGTTTGGACAGAACCATCTGTATTGTACTTTCTCCTAAAGACCCACTTACAACCTATAGGTTTTGATCCAAGAGGAAGATCAACCAAAACCCAAGTGTTGTTGGATATAATTGAGTCCATTTCATCATTAATGGCCTCTTTCCAAAAAGCAGCGTCTCTAGAAGACATTGCTTCTTGAAACGTCTTTGGGTCTTCTTCAACATTTAATACAATTGGAATTTGATTACAAACGTTTGTCCTATCTCCTTCAACAAGAAATACTATAGATTGTGAAGAAATAAAATCAGAACCAAGATGTTTTTCTTTTCTTATTCTTTGGCTTTTCCTTGGTTCTATCTGCATATCATCACTTCTTTCCTTAGTTTTAATAATTTCAGAAAGCGACAATTTATTAGCATCGATACGTTTTCCATTTATTTCAGTCATTTCATCAACATTGTCATTTATAAATCTATTTTCAATAAATTCAACATGTATAGATTCTATAATGACATTAGATTCTAGATCTAGCAGTCTATAAGCTTTGGAGTGTTGTGCATATCCTACAAAAACACTTTTAATTCCTCTAGGACCCAATTTTGTTCTTTGATGGTCAGGTACTCTATAATAGGATATACACCCCCACACTTTAAAATAATTTAAATTTGGTTTTCTACCATTCCAAAGCTCATAAGGCGAAATATGCATACTCTTTGAAGGCACTCTATTTAAAATATAACATGCAGTTAGTAGTGCTTCACCCCATAAATTATGTGGCAAATGTGCATTAAGTAACATAGCATTAACCATATCCACCAAAGTTCTATTTTTTCTTTCCGCTAACCCATTTTGTTGAGGAGTATAAGGGGCACTCATTTGATGTATTAGGCCATGCTCTTCACAGAACTTATTAAATTCGTTAGGAAAATATTCTCCGCCTCTATCACTTCGAATAATTTTAATTTTCCTACTCCTTTGATTTTCCACAACAGACTTGTATTCTTTAAACTTTTGAAAAGCTTCGTCCTTAGTTCTAAGTAGGTAAACATATGTAAATCTAGAGAAGTCGTCTATAAAAGTAATAAAATATCTTTTGCCTCCTCTAGTTAATTCTCCATTTAATTCACACAAGTCTGAATGTATTAAATCTAATAGTTCTGTGGATCTTTCAACTTTACGAAATGGTTTCTTTGTCATCTTTGCTTGTATGCAAATTTCACATTTTATATGTTGAGTTTTACATGAGATATAACCATTTTTGGACATATAATTCAAGGAGCCAAAATTTAAATGTCCTAGTCTAGCATGCCATAAACAAGAATCAGACTCAACGATGTAAGCAGAAACATAATTTATTTCATTAATACTCAATTTGAACATGCCGTTACAGTTATAGCCTTTTCCAACAAAAACACCATTCTTAGACACTATTACATGATCAGACTCAATAACTATCTTGAAGCCTTTCTTTGACAGCAAAGCAGCGGACATTAAGTTTTTCTTCATATCAGGAACATGATACACATTCAGTAACGTCAACTTCTGGCCAGATGTGAAGTTAATCTCAATACTTCCTTTTCCAGCAACATCTGCCGCAACATGGTTTCCCATCAAGACTTGTTCAGAATCCTGCACTTCTGCATATGTCTTGAACATCTTCTTGTCATAACAGACATGAATAGTAGCACCCGAATCTAGCCACCAGTCTTGAGTATTTGTAGCAGCGGTAGCCACATTCAACTCTGTGACCATACCAATTTGCATTGCGGAAACCATGGCAACCAGTCCTTGGGCAGAATTTTCCATTAAGTTTGCCTTTTCAGAATTTCCAGATTTTTTAATCTTTCCAGACTTTTCGGTTTTGCATGCATTGAAATTTATTCCTGCCTTTCTATATCTGCAGTCCCGAATCATATGGCCTTTCTTTCCACAATGATGACAACTAAAGTTCTTTCTCTTTTTAAAAGAAGACTTTTTGGAAACTTTCAGATGTTTGTTCCCACTTCCTGAATCATTCTGACTGACAAAATTGACTGCGGAACTCGAAGGCTGACTAATAGCATCACGAGCACGAGTCTCACTTTCAATTTGAATGTGAGTACGAAATTGTTCCACAGTCATTTTATCCATAGAATGTAGGATTTTCTTTCTATAGTCATTCCAAGAGGAAGGCAATTTCGAAAGAATAGCACCTATTTGAAGTGCATCAGGAATTTTAACTTCAAGATCACTTAGTTTTGATACTAAGATTTGCAGTTCATGAATCTGATCCATTATAGGCCTAGTATCAAATATTTTAAATTCAAAGTACTGTAGAGCCAGGAATTTGTCAATACCTCGTTTTTCATTCTGGTATGCAGTTTGTAGAGCAGTCCAAATCTCTCTTGGCGACTTCAGATTGCAGTAAAGATCATAGAGTCGATCTGTCAAGGTATTCAGAATATGGCCACAACACAACAGTTCATCATGTTCTCGTTTCTTCCTTTCTTCCTTGACTACGTCAGAATCTTCTGATATGGGCCCAGGCATCAGAGGCAAGGCAGAATCAAGAACATAGTAGATATTGAGAGCGGACAACAAGAATATCATCTTGTCTCTCCAACGGGTAAAGTTCGTTCCATCAAAGCGATCAAGTTTGATGAACTCCTTCGGATTCTCAACAACAGACATCAATTTCTCCATAGCAGCATAACTCTTTAAGATTGTTAGAAAAATAATAATCAAAATTGGCTTTGAGACGTGAAAATCGACTGTCCTTAAAGAGTTATCGCCTGTATACTAATTTAGGGAAAATACAAAACGATTCTCTTCAGGATACAACAAAGCCTGCAATAACACTTGTGATTTTCTATATCCACTTCGTTGGAATTCTTGTGTATTTATAGGCAACCAACAGACCCTTTCAGAAAAGATGTCTTGTTTCACAAACAGACACGACTATTTATTCGAATTTTGAATTTAAAATTCAAATAAATAATTAACTCTAGGATCTCGTGCCTGTTGAGTTAATCTCGTGCCTGTTGAGTCAGTCTCGTGCCTGTTGAGATAATCTCGTGCCTGTTGAGACAATCTCGTGTCTGTTATGTGCTATTTCATAATGATCAGTTCCGAGGCTAACAGGCACGGTACGAGTAAGGTCGGTCCCGGGAGTGTTTCACATGACAGGCACGGAACTTCTTTCTTCCGATGTGGGAAGAATCCAACTTCCAACTTGCCAATAACAAACTATCTTACAGAAATGAGTATGTGCAAAGGGTTAGAAAGAAAAGCAAGGCAAAAGGCTATCGTCTCTAAATATATAGTTTTATACTTTTACACCATTAATTAATGGAGTTTTATGACTAAAATTTCATTAAAATTTCGAGCACTATCGTTAGATACAAAATGACAAAGCCTAGTTGCTTCGTTGAGAACTTTCAACTTCTTTTCCGTTAGCTTCACGGCAGTCGATTGAACTTAACACATGTACAGCTCTTGGGTTGTTACAACAAAATATTTATTAAAATAAAAGATGACCATATATTTCATCTCTTTTATGGTATGTGCCACTATCTTTTTATTAATTTATTTTAAAAGGAATTGCATATCTTATTATTTGAAATAGTTAACGGCTTGTTTAACGTTATATTTTATGGCATGATAATTTAAGACTTTTAGTCTATTTGGCCAAAACTTCTAAAATATGCTTATTTAGAAAAGTGATTTACCATTATCAGTAATTTGTAAAAAAAAAATACATTTAGAGAGTAATAATTTGTGTTGACTAATCAATTTGAAAATCACTTTTGATAATATATTAGAACAACAATTTGTGTATGGGGAAAAAACCTTTTTAAGCTTTTAAAAAATATTTTATGCTACTACTTGAAAGTACTTATTTTTCTAAAAGCTTGAACTAACACTTTAAATCTCTAAAATAAATATTTTTTTTATACAATACCCACTTTTGACTTCCAAAAAACTTGACCAAGTAAGCTATAGGTTGTCTTTGGAGAACATGGCCCAAATGTCAAATACCTTCATAACTCCATTGGACCATGAAAGCTACTATTCCCTTCATTAAACACTATAGGGTGACTACCTAACTACGGAGTCTCGACCATTTCTTCGTTGACTCGTGTCTCAAGCAAGGCGAAGCTAGTATTTCAAGTTTATGAATTCAGAATTTTAATCGCCTTAAATTACTGGATTCTAAATTACTCCCTCCGGTTCACAATAAATGACCAATTTGCTTTGGGCACATCCATTAAGGAAATACTAAATTCTAGACAAAAATAGTTAGTGTGACTAAACTACCCTTAATTAAATGTTGCAACATAATTTAATGTGAGGAGTAAAAGGTTTTTTAGGGATACGTACATAAGAGTAATTTTGGAAAAACAAATTGAATTTTTTCTTGATTATATAAATGGACACTTATTTTGGACCAAAATAAAAAAAAACAAATTGGTTCTTATTGTGGACCGGAGGGAGTAATAATTTATACACAAATACCTGCGCCTCGCACTCTAGCTACGCCCAGAATCCCTCTTTATTTACAAACCAAAAGGAAAGAAAGAAAAGGCGTTAACAAGGAAGGCGAAACTATCTTTAAACGAATTAATGATAGTTTCTGCTATTTGTTACTGAGATTTTAATCTTGCAAATTAAATCATGTGTCAGTTTTCTTCACATAATGGACTGCTAATTTCATGGAATTGCAAGCATATTCTTGTGGGTTAAAAGAATGTTATTGCGAGAAAAAGAATACGCATAGTACATAGCAAAATAACTGCTGTTAATAAAAAGAAACAGATGTTTTTTTTTTACTTCCTAGAGATGCAACCCTGTCTTACAAGGTGGAATCAAAGACCACTGCTGTATCTGGTAACCAAGTATCTCCTTGTATGAGAGACTGTACTGTGTACTTGGCGGCCTGAACTGGTGTGATACTGGACTTATAACCAGCCCATTTGACCCTTTGGGCCACAGCTGCACCCGGGCCTGTGTTTTGGTACTCAGCATAGAAAATGGTGTCGGCTGGCTCCACGCCTCGAACCCATTCAATCCAACCTACAGGATGCAAGAATGAAGCAATATTCGACTGCATAATGACTGTAGTCGAATATTGCTTCCATGGCCTGCCCAAGTATGTTGGAGCAGTTAGAGCATCCAACGGTGACAAATCGCACTTTTGAATAGACATGCCTGAGTTCTGATTTGGGTCTTTTTTCCCTTGGGCCGTAATGGTAACAAACTGATTGCTTAGGGGCTGTCTGGGTTGGATTTTACAACTTTGGAAAACAACCGCGGCACTACCAAAGATGAAATCAATGGTGCCTGTAATGTCACATTCGCGGTAAAATTGACGATTGGAGTGGGCATAGAGTGTGTCTTGGAAGCCATCAAATAGGCACTGGTAAAATACAGAGTGATCAGACTGCGACCGCATGGCCACGGCCTGGTGCTTCGCTGCTCCAGCTGTGTTCTTGAATGCCATGTCTCTGGCTATGAAACCTCTACCAGCAACAGCTGATGCAAGTACAAAAATGAACCAATCATTTAACGAGTAGTGAACTATCTTTAGCAGGTAGTAAAATTGTTAATTGTACCTCAACACATAGACACCAAATAGTAAGAGTGGTAACCTTGATATGCTAAAGTTGCACCACATTCTCTATTGTCCTAGAACTATTTCCTATCTCATTTTTCACTTAAAGCGATTTACAAAATTTTACCACTACTAGATTCTTAACGGACAGAAGAAAGTGACACGGCAGGCTAATCCAAAAGGGGACAGGAAAAATGACCAATCTACAATGATGCCATTTTTAATAAGCATGTTACTTTGTGAATGCCTCAGCTAACTCACCAGTCAGCAAGTGAATTGACATGGGTGAGCAAATTGAGGCATCAAATCACATGGCTACAAAACAAAAGCCATGTGCATTCTGATAGACACTGAATCGTTTTGATAAGGCCATCAACCCCACATGCTAACATAGCTTAACATGATTCCACGCGTTCACTATTCAATGCATTAAGCAATTCCTGCTTCCCGCTATTCTAGTAGTGCATAACGGCAAAACAAAACAGAGAAAGAAATATGAGAGTCAATTTCTTAGACCTAATAGAACTATTGTTGTAATATCTTGGATTTCATTTTCTCAACCAAAAAAGTTTACCCTTCCTTTAATCTTGTACATTTTTAATCAGCTACTAATTTTTAAAACAAGAAAGGAAGATCTAAATAATTACACCAAAAATATGATTCAGTTGTTTCATTTAGTAGGTAACCATGTAGGTTCAACAACAATTAATTTTGAATTTCTATTACTAACACAAATGGCATTGTTGTTAGTAACAAAAGCTAAAATGCATTTGTGATTGGTGTGAAATTACTGCTTGAGTTCGAATTTAGACATGTAAAATAGCAAGAAATCAACGGGAAAATGTTTACTGGCATGTTAGAGTTGACTAATGAAAGCTTACCAAATGTGGCGGTGTCAAAAGTGGGAATTCCATCGACGAAATTCAAGCTGCCGGAAACAATGGTCTTAGTTTTGCCATCTCCGTACATCATCACATTCCAAACAGACTTGTCCATTCTCACAGTCTCAACATATTCACCCGCTTTCACATGTATCACAAATCTTACTTTACTCTTCTTAGGCACCCTTTTCACCGCTTCTTGAATAGTCAGTACATCTCCAGTTCCATCACTCGCCACTGTCACATCCGGTTTCGGATTAACCGCCTGCAAAAGTCTCCGATCACCGGGTCGAACCCATTCCAGGTAGCCCGTTTCCTCATTGCTTAATAATTTCCTGTGAATTGGAATGTTGAATTGACCAAGAATTCCCAAAATGTTAACCACAATAGCTAAACTGTTACTAGCATATTCAGTTGAGTTCTTCATTAGAAGCTTAACATCGTTCACAAATGTAGCATTCATTTCTTCAAGTGCGTCCAAGCATGTTTCTTGATCTGTTAATGTTGAGCTCAACCAAGTCCTGAGATCATCAATTTTTGGTCCCGAAAGCAACTTTTGCCCTTCGTTCACATCCACTGATGAAACAGAGTCGTTAAGCTTGTCGATCGCATCGTCAAATACACTCTCACAGACTTCAAGAGCGCGCTGTACTTTAGGTTCTTTAGTCAATTTGGACCAATTTTGTTGCACCGAAGACAAATTGACTAGGGAATCTTTTGCAAGTTTTAAAGAAAGAATGAACAGCGTTTCTGGGTCAGTGGTATTTGAGGCTGCTAATTTTGATAAGCTAGAAATGCAAGAATCTTTGTACTCAGTTACGCTACAGAGAGCTTCTAAGGATTGGGAAGTAGAGGTGGTAGAAGGGATTTGTTTTGAGTTGGAGGAGTCTTTTTGGTTATTTTTGTGAACAACGGTGCCAACAACTATGGCTACTACTGCAATGAGGAGAAGAATGGCAGAGACAATTAAGATAATGATACGCTTACGTGTTTTTTTCCTGAAAGCTTGTTCTTCGGCTTCGTCCACTTTACCATAGCCTTTGAAAGACTTGATTGTATCCATTAGAGAAGAAAAATTAAGGAAATTTTAAGGCTTACTTTTCAGATTTTGTAACTTGTAAATGGGAATGTGAGGGTTGGAATTTGGAAAAGTCTGTGCATACAGAGCTTTATTTTGTGTCGTAGGTGTGTACTGATGTCTGTTTCTGGGGTAAGAGAGGTGATTTTTATACAAAGTTTTAGCCTTTAGGAGACAAATGGGCTTTCACTTTTTCCTAGATGCTTCTGCCTTTAAGATCTCACTCCTGTAATAATTTAGTGTCACAAGTTATCACTTATTTATTATTAAGCCCACATAATACATAATTGCAGTCTTCTTAGTTCTTTCGTGACGCAGAAGTATTTAATAATTATGTGGCGTTTGGTTGTAAAATCCACTTGCAAAATTTGACGTTTCGCCATGTAATATAAATCTTGTTTGTTGTGAAACGAGAAACAAAATTTGAAATTGAAATAATTTGAAAGTGTAATATAATGTTGTATGTGGTTGAGTCAAGATCGCTCATGTTCAGAAGATGAAGGTAGCAGATATAAGGATGTTGAGGTGGATGTGCGGGTACATCAGGTTAGATAGGATCATAAATGAGGTTATTCGCAACAAGGTGGGCGTGACCCCTATTGAGAATAATATGCGGAAAGCGCGGCTTAGGTGATTTGGTCATGTGAGGAGGAGAAACACAGACGCCCCGGTGAGGAGGTGTGAGAGGTTGATATTGGAGGGCCTACAAAGAGGTAGATGTAGGCCAAAGAAGAGGTGGAGAGAGGTGATTAGGCAAGACATGTCGCAACTTCAGCTACCGAGGACATGACCTTTGACAGAAAGGTATGAAGGTCGAGGATTAAGATAGTAGAGTAGATAGTCTAGAGTGTTCATAATAGTAGTATTGGCACGCGGTCTTGCTTTCTGTTGGTAGTAGATTTTTATGACTAAATGTTGTTTTCTTTCATTGTTGATCACCTTACTATGTTATTGTTTTTATTATGCTTTTATATGGTTTTTTGGTACTCTCCTTTCCTGTCTATATTTTCATTAATGTGATGCTTATGTTTTCCTTAGGCGAGGGTCTACTGGAAACAACCTCTCTATTCTCATAAAGTAGAGGTAAGGTCTGCGTACACACTACCCTCCGCAGACCTCACAGTCTGAGATAATACCGAGTATGTTGGTGTTATTGTTGAAAGTGTATTTTAAGTTAAAAAATAAATCAATACCCACTTTCAAATTTTCAATTTTTATAAACTTTAGGATAGTTGGAGTAGTAACTATATACTCCGTCCGTCTTATATTATCAGTCGTGGTTATTAAAAATAGATGTCTCAAATTATTTGTCACTTTAGAAGTTCAAGATAAAATTTATAAATTTTTTCTTTTTTATCCTTAGTAATGATTATCTTTGAAGACTAAAAACATCTTAATTATGGATAACTTTGTTCATATACTAATGAAGAAAGATTAAATATTAAGACATGAATAATAAAAAAATAGTCAAAATTTCATTCTAATTAAATTTTATTAAGGGGCATGTACAAAAAATTCTACTCTCATAGATAATATGAGATGGAGGGAATAACAAAATGGTAGACCCCAAACTAATTTAATGAATGCATGTCTGTAAGCAAATATGACAAAGACTCGCTAGATTAGTTTGGAGATAGGAACGAATTCAATAAGACTTTAACTACAATAAATTGCTAGCCAGAATTTAGGCTAAAATATCATGTAATCTGCAAGTATAAAAATGAATATTGCTGGTAATAAAAGTGCATGTAAAATTACACATTACATTTATATTTGTTACACCCTTTTTTACACCTTACTAACCCTCTTAAAAATATAAAAAGATTTGTAATGCTCAAAAGGATTTTTAATTAAAAGCGACCAAATTGTGTTCAAAAGGAAATAACTCAGAGTCGCCACCTGACATTATTTCGGTGTGCCGTGTCACCTTTTTTAAAAATAATTTTTCCTTTTTAAAACACTTTGGACTCCAAAACTAAGTCTGCACCAGAGTTCTGGGTAAGGGGGTTCATTTGACTCGGGGAGAAGGTGTTAGGCACTCCCCGAGTCCCATAACTAGTACGGTTGCATACATGATCAAGTTGGCTTTTAAAATATTCGAATTGAGGTAATAAACATAAATGGAAAAATTAACACATAAGAGGCTCGAGGTCGTCCCCACTTAATAAAGAAAAATAAAACAAGAATAAAACATTACAAGTTCTATTTTTAGCCTCCAATTACAGAATACTACGGGCATTCCCCGGAATAAAATATATACAAATCCGTCGGAGCATTCCCTGGATGAATTTAACTAAAAGAACGACCTCTCACCTCAAAACTAACAAAAATCCTAAAGTTTGCCTACCCAGGTGTTGACGGCCTTATCATGCTCCTAGCGAATCAACTCGGATAAACAAAACAAATCACCTTAAACATAAATCTCATTAATTTTATCACCCACGGCCCACTTCTCCTTGAATGAGTTTAAACCAAATTCTTCTCAAATGTAAAATCTAAATCCTCATCAAATACTTCCAATTTCAATTTTCAGAACTTATACTTCTCAAGTGTAAAATTAGATTAAATAGACTAAACCCCTATCTCTCATTCTCAAAACCAACATATCACGGCCAACAATAACTAGCACAAAAGAAACAAGAACCAGATTGCAACTCAAGTTTAAATTCATTTTGACATTGAATAGCATAAAGGACAATGAATCAGACGACCAAGCAACCATTAATTCATTTCAAGCAGAGAGTGAGATAGAAGAGATGGACCTTGAAACTCTGACATACGAACTCGAACAGGGAATGGAAAATAGAAGCAAAAATTACTCCGCAAACCTCGAACTTCGGACGGCAACCGGCGACGGACTTCACTCAATCGAACTCCATTTTTTGCAAGATAAATCCGAAATTGAAAAGCAAGGAAACAGAAATGTTTTTGGTACCTTTTTTTTATTTTCTGATTTTGAAACGAAAACCAAACTTGAACAAAGAGGGTTACTAATCTCTGAAACTATTACTAAGATGTAAATTAATTTTTTATATATCAAAAGCTAAATGGAAATCAGCCGAGAAAAGATGGAAATCAGAAACTAAAAGAACCCTCGGATTTGCTCTGTTTCTACATACTGTTCATGTGTGTGTGTGTGTGTGGTGCGGCAGATTAGAGGGATTCCGGCGAGGGAGTTCTGGCGTGACGGCTGGAGATGGGTGGTTGAGAGGGTGGCGGAGTGGCTGCTGGAGGCTTAGAGGTGAAGTAACAGCCGGCCTTCACTGGTGATGAAATCCGGCGGCTACTGGAGTTCGAGAGATGGGCTGGCTCGTCCTCTCAAAGTGAAAGAGAGAGATCTGATGAAGGGCGGTGGGAGGCGCTCTTTGCTTAGGAGATCAGATTAGGATACTCTCTTTCTTAACTCCCCTCTGCTTTTTGCGTTTCTGGCTATGTTTTTTTCAGTCCCCCGTTTCTCTCTCTGTTCTGTGTTTGTGACCCTCTTCTCTAATATTTGTCCCTTCTCTCTGAATGAGGAGTGTACATATAAATAGAGTGAAAAAAATGAACCCTCAAAATTGTGCTTGGAGAGGAAGAAAGAATTTTCTAGAAAAAACATGTGGTCCCCAATAGTTAAAAATGCCGTGTGAATTCTCTTCAACTCTCAGGTGTGTGAATTGTCTTATTGTAAGCACGTAATTTTTGACCTACGCAAATTTTAAAGTTAGTTTTAGTATTTTAATATTTTTAAAATATTTACTTGACTTTATTTTAATATAATTTTAATCTTTTTACTTTTAGTCCTAAGATATAAAAAAAACATAAAATAGTTTTATTTATCGTGTTTATCGCGTTTCTATATTTTTATCTTTAGTTTAAGATCAATTAGTATATTTTTATTCATGGTATCTTAATTTTATCATGACTTTAGCCTATTTTCTTTACTTTTTATTTTATTGTTATAACATTTAAAAATACAAAAAAAAGTAGTTTCATTTCAAAATTTTGTTTATTTACTTAACTAAGTTTAATTAATATTTTGGTAGGATTTTTGAGTTTGTCTTTGTCCAACAAGAAAATTTGTAGGCCCAAAGGTGTGAGTCCATTTCTTTTAACTTAAACCCAATTATTCTTAGCCCATTCTTCCCAACCCATTAGCCCATTTATGTGCAAGATTTAATCCTAGCCATCTATTTCCTTCTAATCCAATGGCCATCATCCATTCCCACCTTCATATAAAATACCTAATTATAGAAACCCTAACCCAAGTTTTTTTCAATTTCCTAGTCTTTAACTAAAAAAGGAACCAGCCGCTAGTCCACCCCCGTCGTCGGATCTCTCACGCCGCCGACCAGCCACGCAGTCATTGCCCTCCTCCGAACGACCAGTCACTCCATCCCCCGAACACTCCAGCAGCGGAACCATTACAGTCACCCATCTCACGACCTCACCAGACCCGCCGCCCACCAGCAACGGCGTCAACCAGCCCTACAACGACCAACGACCGCACCACCCCAACTCCCTCTCAAACCCGCCGTCGCACAGACCCCATCAGATTGGAGCTCAAACGTAACAAGAATCCAGCAACAACAACTCCATTTTCAGCCGAAAATCCAGCAGATCATAACCCAAATAGAACAAATCGAGCGAAGCTTTCTGTTGATACCAGTTTCCGTTCTTTGAGAGCTTCGACTGAGTTTGTAAGGCTGTCTGGTCGACTGAGTTTGTAAGGTTGTTTCGGTCGCTGGCTCTATTTGTAATCGANGCTTTGTTTGTCTTATTTCCTTGTTTTGTTGGTTATTTGTTTATCGTTTTTCTTAATATGTTACTGTTTTATAAACTGTCATCATGTGCATAACCATGGGTCTTCTTTCTGCAACAAGTCTCAGAGTACGCGTCGCGTGCACGAACTCTTTGTTGAGTCACCCTTAATTTAGGAGGGGGGCCGTCGGACGTATGGAGTGGGTGGAAAGCTTGAGCAGCCACCATCGACCATACGCTCCCCCGAATTGCCTTGTTAGTGAACCCCAAACTTAGGTCAGCCTTTAGGTCATTTTTATTTGCATCATGTCATTTAGACCTAACAGGGCTCGGTCCCAGGTACCGTGTCCCTTTGTAGGAAGCCTATCCAACTTTTGTCAAAATGGGCCCGTGGCCCAAAAAGACATTCAATCATCCCTATGTGATACATGTTGCATCTTTGAGGGTAAAAGGTCATTTGGCGGACCGATGCTTGGGAAAGATGGGTGAAAGACGAAGCAAGTAAGGCCCAGTTATATTTTTCTTTCACTACNCGAACTTCGTGGGAAAATTATAGTATATATTAGTATTTAGGATTTTACATTTATTTTCTTCTTTTATTTTCTTTTGGTTAGGTGGGGACGACCTCGAGCCTCTATTGTATTTATTTTATTTTCTGTGTTTATACCTCAATTTGAATATTTTAAGTGCCAACCTGATCAAGTATGCAACCGTACTAGTAACGGGACTTGGAGAGTGTCTAACGCCTTCTCCCCAAGTCAAATGAACTCCCTTACCCGAATCTCTGGTCCAGACTTAGTTTGGAGTCCAAAGTGTTTTAAAGGAAAAATTATTTTTTTTTAAAAATGGTGACCTGACACACCGAAACCAATGTCAGGTGGCGACTCTGAGTTATTTTCTTTTGAACACAATTTTGTCACTTTTTAATTAAAAACCCTTTTGAGCTTTACTAAATCTTTTATTTTATATAAGAGGGTTTAGTGAAGTTCGGTTAAAAAGGGGTGTGACATCTCTGGCGACTCTGCTGGGGACCTGCATGTTCGAGCTGATATTTGATCTTGTTGGCTTTTAGGATATTCGGTTGAGGTGTTTGTTTTCTTTATTTGCTTTGTTTGTCTTATTTCCTTGTTTTGTTGGTTATTTGTTTATCGTTTTTCTTAATATGTTACTGTTTTATAAACTGTCATCATGTGCATAACCATGGGTCTTCTTTCTGCAACAAGTCTCAGAGTACGCGTCGCGTGCACGAACTCTTTGTTGAGTCACCCTTAATTTAGGAGGGGGGCCGTCGGACGTATGGAGTGGGTGGAAAGCTTGAGCAGCCACCATCGACCATACGCTCCCCCGAATTGCCTTGTTAGTGAACCCCAAACTTAGGTCAGCCTTTAGGTCATTTTTATTTGCATCATGTCATTTAGACCTAACAGGGCTCGGTCCCAGGTACCGTGTCCCTTTGTAGGAAGCCTATCCAACTTTTGTCAAAATGGGCCCGTGGCCCAAAAAGACATTCAATCATCCCTATGTGATACATGTTGCATCTTTGAGGGTAAAAGGTCATTTGGCGGACCGATGCTTGGGAAAGATGGGTGAAAGACGAAGCAAGTAAGGCCCAGTTATATTTTTCTTTCACTACTTTTAAAAAAAAATGAAAATGAAAAATCCAAAAAAGATTTTACATTTTCCCATTATTTTCCAAAAATTCAAAAAAAAAAATCCAAAAAGAGTTTACATTTTCCATCATTTCTCAAAAAGACAAAAAATATGGTTTTTCCAAATTAGTTGCATTTTTTTTAAAAAGGCTTTCTCCCATGACCAATATTCCTAAACTACGCGAACCTGATTCTCGTCTTCTGGGGCGGGATACGTAGGCAACCCACATAGGGTCCGGTCTTCTTATTAGGTCCTAGGTTCTTGGCTTCTGGGGTCGTAGCCAAATCTTGCATGTATAGCCATATTTGGCCACATTGGCCGTTTTTGCAAAAATAGAAGTGTTTTCTCAAAGTAGTTTGTTATCTCTTGTATTAGGATCTTGAGTCTACAATAAAGTTTCCTCTTAATTCTAAGGTTCATTGCCGTCAAATTTGCATGTCTAGCCACTTTTGGCCACGTTGGCCATTCTTGCAAAATGGGGTTATTTTCGCAAGAGTGGCTCAATTACCCATGTCTTAGGATCTTGAGTTTATAACTCGGTGTCATATCACTTTAAGGTCCATCCATGTCGTGTTTGCGTCCCTAGCCACATTTGGCCACATCGGCCATTTTTGCAAAAAAGGGTCCATTTCTGCAAAGTAATTTTTAAGACCATGATTGTCGGGATATTAGAGTCATGTAAGCTTTAAATGGAGTAATGGAGTATTTCTCATGCATTAGGGGTCAACTTTGTCAAGTTTGTGCTAATAACCACTTTCAGCCACTTAGGCCATTTTGCAAATATAGCCAAGTTGTGTCCTGCATTTGTTGACTAGGAAATATGGTGGGGTCACGTAGTGTCCCGAGCCACTAACCATGTTTGCTTCATTTAGGTATGGACCCGCTGATTCGATCCAAAGTGCTGATGGTAGTAAAGATTCCTAGGAAGTTGATCAAGTGGTGGAAAATGTTTTCATCGTTAGAGCAGCATGAGTTAATGCAGAAATTGGGCACCCTAACTTCCCTTCTTGATATCACACCCCGCCCAGACTTAGTGGAGGCGATGCTGACTTATTGGGATCCGCAAAATTTGATTTTCAGATTTGGAGAGTGTGAGATGACTCCTACCTTGGTGGAAATGTCTGGTCTCACTCGTTTAAGCTATATAGGCAAGGACATGATACTTTCCCGAGACCACTCTAGGACAAGATTCCTCAGCGACTTGGTCCTGAAAGATAATAAGCATTTAAAATGTCTCGAGCAGTCCTGGATATCATTGGATTATTTGTTTGCTAGATTTGGACCACAAGATAGTTTTAATATCTTTTGGGATGAGTTCTACACAACCAAGGCAAAGTGGCAAAGACGTCGCCTCGAAGCTTTCAGCCTTGCTTTGTTGGGATTATTGGTTTTTCCATTAGATGAGAGGCACATCAGTACCCGTCTACAGTCAGTGGTAATGGCACTATTTCATGATAAGCAACGCAAAACCGTTACCGTTGTGCCGATGATCTTAGCAGAGTTGTACCGAGCCCTGAGTGAGGTTAGGGGAGGTGTCAGATATTTTGAGGAAAGTAACCTTTTGCTACAGTTGTGGATGATGGAGCATTTGCACACCGCTTCCTTACTTTGTCCCATCGATTATGCCTTGAGGGATCGGGTGGTATGCATCGAACGTAGGATGAAATCTCCTAAGTTTACGTACCC